TCGCAGTGAAATTAAATATGAACGGAGAAAATTACATACAACTACAAATTTAAATATTTCATGTTGTTCTCACTTTTAATGCGTGTTACTAAAACCATTTCTTTTTTTTGGGGAGGGGAGAGATTGGTATCCGTCGACGATTTTTCATCGGTCATGAATTAATTGAGATCGAACCTACACTAAACCATGAATAAATCATGAACGAATGGTGTTCTCTTAATTAAATTTCTACTCAAATGTACATATCCGCATGTATTTTCAATCATTCATGGACTCGAATGAATTTGCCGTGAATCTCATACAATTTTAAACAAGCTTCAATCTTGGATTTCATTTTTCATTCTTTACGCATTACATGTCGCCATAATTAACTTCTCATTTCTCATACGTCATCAACTCGCACCACTTACTCTAGTCACACAATGCGTCATCCAATAAAAATTTTTTCAGCCATGGTTCCGAAACTCAAATGTTCAAAGAGACCTCAGTCACCTAGTAAATGTCACCAAATATTCAGAAAAACTGGAATTATCATAAATGACCAAATGAGTTTCCCTCTTATTTACAAGTAGACCGTTCTTGAGGATCACATTCGGAGTGTCTGAATTGAGTGCTGTGAACAAACCTCGATGAGAAATTTCGCTGACATACTATACACAAATGAATATTTCGAACTAACACTCAAAGTAAACTGAATGGATAAAAAGTGCACATAAATAGACATCTCTAATCGTATTGAGACCAATGACGAGTTCAACGACGATCAATTGCTTGGAAATGATTCGTGGAACCATTACATATATCTCCTTGCGAAGCCAAAATCGAACATATAGATTGTATTAGCGTTTGAGCCTCTGCCGACAGCATAATTGTTTGCCTTTACATCGCCACACAACCATCCACTATCATGGAGTGTCTCCAAACGATCCAGTGTTTGAATGCCTGTCCGTAACGCTGACGATAAACTCAACCTGAATTTCACCAAAAACACTTTCAGCTCGGCGATTTTATCAATTTGAAATATTGTACCTTTATCTATTTCAGTGATTCTCACGCTCGGGTGCTCCATTACCCCTTTCGATGATCTGGCAGGTCGCCGTTACCNATGGATTCTCATCCTTTTCAGACGTGTCATATTCACTCTCATAGCTATTACATGCGAATATCGTTCTCTTGATGAGTTTTTCTCATTCACTTCGTCTCATTTCACTTCAAATTCCAATCATTTTCTTATTCTGTAGCAAATACTGTTTACTGGATATGTTGACAAGTGTTGACAGCCGAAATCAACAATACAACAATTGAATGGGTAATTTCACCCCCTATGAAAACCACTGATCTTTTTCTATTTCCGTCGACATTGACACCAAATATTGATCAACGAAAACTTAGTGATCACATTTCAATGTCTTGGATACCGGTTGATTGATTGATGAAGTATTTGAATGTTTATCGAACCTCTTGTTCGGTAAGGCTCTCCTTAAACGACCCAAATCGGGTCCAACCAACTGCATAACGGCGTATTTGTATGAGGATGTTCGGCCGGCGATGATAAGCCGTGGAAATCCCTTCGAAGGTTCCTTCTTGTGATTAATTTGAGTGAGAACAAGCACATCCAACTTCAGAACACGTCTGCAATGATCACTTCATGCACGTAGACATTGCACCAATCCTTACTGTTACCTGATCGACAAGTCACCATTATATAAACAAACAACTCAATTTTACATCATGTGATTCCATCTATATTATAATCGATCGCCCTGTCATAAATGTGATATAGACCCATCTATTATAGAATATAGAAGACAATTGGGAAGAACCTCAAAATGCCATCACTAAAAGCGATTTGCTAAACATGATGGACTGACTATGAAAGAGCACAATTGAATACTGGATATTTCATGTATTCTAGTCTCAACGACTGTAAATTATTTAAGAAACGTGTGAAACTAGCATGAAATTACCTTGCT